GGTTTCACTAAGGAGATGGGCTATGTCAGAAAGGGAATGCCCCGGAGAGCTAGGTGGGCGGTAGATTCCTGCAACAATGATTGATTTACTGCACGGGATCTCAATTGTGCCAGAAAGGAAATAAAAGGTGGCAGGAGGACTAAGGTTTTGTAAAGGGCTAAACTTTATGGAATTGTCAACATAAATAACAATGCCTCCTCCTCTCTTTGCTCTGTCATTTCTAAATCATGAATACTCCTGTATTGCAATGGCGGTGTCTGGTATTTTAGTTGTTAACCATGATTCTGAGAGCACAATGATTTTTGGTTTGTAATGGGAACACCAGGCTTGCAGTGCATCCAGTTTAGGGAGTAAACTACGGATGTTGCAGTGCACAAAAGAGAGGCCTTTTTTAGTTGGGAGATTAGGACTAGAATTAGCTGGGGGACCAGGGTTAGACGCCACATCATTTGCAAGGGCAAGTAACATAAGGAATAGGAATTTGGACATAATTTTTGTTTGGCCATATGGTGAATGGGATACTTTATAATTTTGTGAGGTGGGGGTAGGAGGACTATTTTTTTATAACTCTCCACCAGCACTCAGCAGATAAGTTAAAGGAACAGAGCATGCCATGGTGTATGAGAATTTGTGTTCCAGTTTGAGGTGTGTACTTATTCTGGTAGTGGTGTGAACAAAATTGGATTGAAAAAAGGGTTAAGAATAACAGTATGGTTATATTTGGATTCATGTTAGTGGTATGATGTGTGTAGTTGAAAATGAAACAGAAATCGGGAAAAACTAAAATTAAATAGAAGTATATAGTTTTGGTGTGTGATATATCTATTTGTAGTGAGAGAGGGTATGTGTTCTATAGGGTTAAGAGATTGGAAGGGTGTGCTGATCAGTGTTTCCACCTGTCATTTCAGTAGATTGAAAGTTGTGTGGGAGACTATCTATGAATGAGGAAATGACCATGGGGTGGGTGGGGAATCAGTCTTCCAGAAGGCTACCTGTTTCAAATGGCCATGGAACAGCTGATGGAGCTCTGAGTTCTATGCTGGACTGGGTATGTTTAAAAATCAGACTGTGGGATATATATACACACTACAGCACCCCTCACACACATACTGCACTCCTAAACACATTATGTTCCAGACACACACTAGATCCCTTACCCAACTCTGGATCATATACACATACACTAGATCCGTTTATACACTCTGAAGCCATTATATACACAGACTCACTAGATCTCCTACACATTCTGGGTCCTTCAAACACACACTAGACTCCTGTATACACACACACCGCACCATCTACACACACACACACTACATTCCTAAAATACACACTCTGGATCCCTTATAAACACACTAGATTCATTGTAAACAAACACATACTACAAGCCTAAACACACACTCTCTACAACCTCTACAAACACTACATCACATATATATATATATATATATATATATATACACACACACACACACACACACACACACACACTATAGCCTGTATGCACACACTTACTGAATCCCCTATACACACATTCTCTACAGCCCCTAGCCACATATGCATTACATTACACCAAAAAAACAACACGACTAAAACCGACCTTATTACACAATACCACACCACAATCAGCTCACTCTCCACACACGCAATTCCACAAGCAGGCTCCAAACACATGCACAATACTCTTTCCTGGCCCTTTTGTCTCCTGGTATCCATTTATAGAGACACCAGAGACAAGTTGCAAGGAAACACAGTGCAAGCATGTTTGCACTGTGCAGAACAAATACAGGGCTTTTTTTCTCATGCTAGAGCTCTTTAGCAGAGTTCTGTGCATGGTCTGCCCTGGAAGAGGATTGAACCAACATGCTCACTTTGAGAGGGGGTGTGTTTGTCTCTGCCCCGCCCCCTTCTTAGTGGGCTGCTGTGATAAAAAAAATGCCCGGGCCGAATCATTGTCCCAATTATCTCCAGGATAGAGGGAGGGAAAAATGGATGCATTGTGGGGATGTTTTACTTCTGTGTGTCTGAATGTGATACATATCTGTCTGTGTTAGTCTCCCTTCTGGTCCCCTAGTGGAGTGTCCACCAGGTGGGAGACCTGCATAAATACTGGGCAGGTAGCCCTCAATAAACCAGACCACTGCTTGATCCCCAACACGGAGCTCTGTCTCGTCTTTGGGGGGATTTACTGTTAGAGACTGATTGGAGTGTAAGCTGCTTGGGTGCTTTTCCTGTTCGTCTGCTAGCAGCTATTCGTGAGGTTCCAGTTCGGGAGTTTGGAGCATTCCCTTGTATGCAGTTCAGGAGTTTGGAGCATTCCTTCGTATTCAGTTTGAGAGTTTGGTGTTCTGCAGTAGCTGTGCCTATGTCTCTGGAAGGGAAGATCTACTAAATGGCGGTTTAACCCCTTTATGCCTGGGGGTGCTGTTACAGTTGCTGGTAGAATGCTTTGTCACTCTAACAAGAGCATGGCAGCATTGTACAGATGAGACCAAAGTGGAGATGTCTGGTCATAATGCACAGCGTCACGTTTGGTGAAACCAAACACCACATATCAGCACAAACTCCTCATACCAACTGTCAACCATGGTGGTGGGGGAGTGATGATTTGTGTTTGATTTGTACCCACAAGGCCTGGTAACCTTGCAGTCATTAATTCAACAATGAACTCCACTGTATACCAAAGTATTCTAGAGTCAAATGTTAGGCCATCTGTACAACAGCTAAAGCATGGCCGTATTTGGGTCATGCAATAGGACTATGTGACAGACTGCCATTTACCAGCTATACTCACACTGGGGATTGCTATGCTCTACATACTCCCCTGAGCTTAAATCACTTAGCTCTTTTAAGAGCTTGTTCCTGATACGCTCTCCTGGAGGAGAGGTCTTCCCCACATGGTCCTGGAAGACAGAAGCTGATCCAGGGTGGACAGAAGACGGCGAGACTTCAGTTAAGCTACGGTGGTTGTTGGAGTCTGCGGTGGTTGTGGTGTCCGGTGTGGTGCTTGTGGTCCTCGGCGCAGGCTAGGAAGTGTCCATCAACGGAAGGTACTCGGTCAGAGTACGGAGAGTTCCGTTACAGTGGTGGCAGTGGTGGGATGGCTTCCCTAGTGCGAGGAGCAGCATCCTGGGAACACCAAGCAAGCCTGGAGTATTGGTACAGTCACGTACGGTTTGACACTTTACTGAAGGGGCTGTTGGCTCTCTATGGACCCAACCCAACAGAGCAACGTATACAGAAACTGAGGAGAGTCATGGCAGAGGAGATGCAGAATGAGGGCAGAGATGGCAAAGTATTCTGTCCCTGCGCCCCAACAACAGACAACTGGTCTCTTCCCCCCAGCAGTGGCGTGTTCTGCAGGGAGAGGAGGCAGTCGGCTTCTCTCTCCAACGGCAGTGTTCCCTACAAGGGGTGGAGGTAATCAGCCTCCCTACCCAGCGGCAGAGGGAGTCAAAGGGAGAGGAGACAACCGGTCTCTCTCCCCAACAGCAGTGTGTTCTGCAGGGAGAGGTGGCAGCCGGCCTCTCTCCCCAGGGGCAGTGTTCCCTACAGGGAGTGGAGACAGCCGGCCTCCCTCCCCAGCAGCAGTGTGTTATTCAGGGAGAGGAGGCCAGTACCCTCTCTCCCCAGCGGCAGCTTATCCTACCAAGGGGAGACATCAATCTCCCAGACAGCGCAGATGGGACCGTGGTCTCTGTGCCTTACCCACAGGGATGCTGGACAGCCTGTCCAGATCCCCAGCTACCATCGCCGGAGTACCAGGAGGAGGGGGTAAGTGATGTCTCTCCTCCTCAGCCAAGTCCCTACCAGGCTACCCCAGCAGAAGTGCTGGCATCGGGGCAGAACGCAGCTGGCCTTTGCCCCCCAACTCCCCACAGCGTGTTGCCCCATCACCCCAGAGGGATACTCAGGTGCAGTAACTGTTTGTTGTGGGTGGGCTACTCTGGCACTTGCTTTTTGTGGACGGGTGGATCGACTAACTTAGGCACTGACCTTTTAGAAGGTCAAGCGTCTGGTTAGTCTTCCCCCCAAAGGGGAGATATGTGACAAACTGCCATTTGCCACTGGATTTCTATGTGCCAAACTGCTCTGCTCCCCTGGCTTATGGAGAAGCCTGCTTGTCAGCCTCTTGCCACATGACTATGGCCCTGGGATGTATGGCCCTTTAAAACCATTACTTGGTCTCATTGACTTTTATTTGGACTAGTGCTGGCCCTTTAAAAACAGTGTATGGACATATTGAAACTTTTGGGACAATTTTTCTGCCCCTTTGAATCCATGGGAAGGTGTGCCTATTCCCCTCCCCCTGTCCCTTTGTTCTCCAGCAGGGCGTTGTCCCAAGGACACTGCCAAACCAGTTGGAACTGGCTGCTTTTTTCCCTTCTCGGTCAAAAGATGGCTTCCACCTATCTCCTGAACCACTTAAAGGACCAGGGCCGTCTTTAGCACGGGGCAAACGGGGCAGTTGCCCTGGGCCCAGTTGCTCCATGGGCCCGTGATTTCAGCAGCCCCCATGTACACGGCGGTGCAGCCGCACCGGCCCGCCAACTAAGGAGGCCCCCCATGTGTCAGCAGGGGCCCGGTCGGGCGCTGTGACGCTTAAACAGCGCGACCAGGCCCCTTTCTGTACCGGCTGGGAGGAAGTGAGTGCGGCATGTCACTTCCTCCCACCGGAGATAATAGCCGCGTGGGAGGAGGAAGGCAGGGAGGAGGGGAGTTCTTCAAGATAACTCCCAACTGCCTCAGCCTGCCACTGGACCCCAGGGAAACCACCCTCCATAAAAAGGTAAGAACCTGGAGGGTGGCTAAATGTATGTCAGTATGTCTGTGTGTTTGTTAGTATGTCTGTGTGTTTGTTAGTATGTCTGTGTGTGTGTGTTAGTATGTCTATGTGTGTGTGTATGTCAGTATGTTTGTGTGTATGTGTGTGTGTTTGTGTCAGTATGTATGTGTGTGTGTGAGTATGTATGTCAGTATGTCTGTGTGTATGTGTTAGTATGTCTGTGTGTGTATGTCAGTATGTCTGTGTGTGTGTGTTAGTATGTCTGTGTGTGTATGTCAGTATGACAGACATACTGACATACACACACAGACACACTGACATACACACAGACACCCTGACATAAACATACACACACTGACATACACACACACACTGACATACACACACAGACATATACACACACAAACATACTGACACACACACAGACATACTAACATACACGCACAGACATGCTGACACACACACAGACATGCTAACACACACACAGACATACTAACACACACACACTAACACACACACACACACACACACTAACACACACACACAGAGACATACTGTGTGTGTATATGTCTGTGTGTGTATGTCAGTATGTCTGTGTATGTCAATACGCCTGTCAGTGTATGTGTTTCAGTATTTCTGTCAGTGTATGTGTCTGTGTGTGTGTCAGTATGTCAGTGTATGTGTCTGTTTTTATGTATGTGTGTCTGTGTGTGTATCAGTATGTCTGAATGTGTGTCAATATATTTGCCAGTATATATTTGTGTGTCAGTGTATTTGTGTGTCAGTATGTATCTGCGAATGTTTTAATATGTCTGTCTGTGTGTGTATGTGTCAGTATATCTGTCAGTGTGATTGCGGGTTGGGCGTAATGGGGAGGGGGGCGCAGGGACAGGGCCCAGGGGGCCCAAGAAAAAGCTTTGCCCAGGGTCCTATTCATATTATAGACGGCCCTGTAAAGGACCACTCTAGGCACCCAGACCACTTCAGCTTTATGAAGTGGTCTGGGTGCCAGGTACCTCTAGGATTAACCCTTTTTTTTTTATAAACATAGCAGTTTCAGAGAAACTGCTATGTTTATACTGAGGGTAATCCAGCCTCCAAATCCTCTAGTGGCTGTCTCATTGACAGCCGCTAGAGGCGCTTGCGTGCTTCTCACTGTGTGCTTCTCTTGTGTATATTATATTATATTATATTATATTTTATATATATATATATATATATATATATATATATATAAAGAGATGATGGCTTGGCACTCTCCTTAAAAGAAAATCAATCTACTACTTGCCTGGGTGCAAATCTTAAGCGTCAATAACATAAAAATAAAAAATTCAAGATGCACTCACAGGTCTTCAATTATAAGGAAAAAACTGGTGCTTTATTAATCCATACGTGATATACAACGAAAATCATTTTCGTTGTATATCACGTATGGATTAATAAAGCACCAGTTTTTTCCTTATAATTGAAGACCTGTGAGTGCATCTTGAATTTTTTTTTTTTATATATATATATATACATATATATATATATATATATATATTACAGTAAGCACACAAGCTCACTGACATGCGCAAATAAGCTTACTGACAGAAAAAAACTCTCTGACTCACACACAACTTACTACAGACAAACTCACTTGTATAAACAGAAGGCTCACTACAAAGAAGTTCAGGGACACACACAAGCTCACTGACACACACATGCTCACTAAATAGAAGCTCACTAACTCACACAAGCAGTACCATTTTAACAGAGTTAAGGGCCCCTGGGCAAAGCAATGCACACACACACACACACAGACACAGACTGCTGAGTCCATACACACACACAGACACAGACTGCTGAGTCCATACACACACACACACACACACACAGACTGCTGAGTCCATACACACACACACACACACAGACTGCTGAGGTCAGACACACACACACACACACAGACGCTGCTGAGTCCATACACACACACACGGAGCTGCTTTGAGTCCATACACACACGCACACACGAGGCCTTTGAGTCCATACACACACACACACACGCACACACACACACAGATTGCTGAGTCCATGCACACACACACACACACAGACGAAGACGGGCTGCTGAGTCCATACACACACACACACAGGGCTAGATTCATACACACACACACACACAGACAAACAGACTGCTGAGTCCATACACACACACACACACAGACTGCTGAGTCCATACACACACACACACACACACACACACAGACTGCTGAGTCCATACACACACACACACACACAGACTGCTGAGTCCATACACACACACACACACACACACACACGTTTCTTGCTGAGTCCACACACACACACACAGCCAGACTGGTCCATATACACACACACACAGACACAGACACAACGAAGGTCTATACACACACACACACAGACTGCTAGGTCTATATACACACACACACACACAGACTGCTGAGTCTATACACACACACGGACTGCTAGAATTCATACACACACACAAACACACACACACAGACTGCTGGTCTATATACACACACACACACACACACACACACGGGCTACTTTGAATTCCTATACACACACACACACACACACACACAGACTGCTGAGTCCATACACACACACACACACACACAGACTGCTGAGCAGTGGCGGATCCAGAGCCTGATCTTGGGAGGGGCACTTGTAGATTATTTAAAGAAATAATCTAGACACAATAACCACTACAGCTCAGTGTAGTGGTTATGGTGTCAATAGTGTCGGGACCTCCTCCCAGAGTAAGTAGTCAAACCGTTTAACAGTTTGACAACTTACCTGAGGTCTGCTGGGAAATGGGGCTGTAGTATGGCATAGGAGCAGTGGTGTGTGAGTGGTGCAATGTGTAAGGGGTGCAGTGTGTGTGTGTGTGTGTGAGCAGTGTGTGTGTTTGAAGATTATAGTGTGTGAGTGAGGGCGACAGTGTATGTCAGGGATGCAGTGTATGTGTGGGACAGTATGTGTGTGTAACAGTTGCAGTGTGTAAGTGTGGGCAATGTGTGTGTATGGGGCGGCAGTGTATGGGGAGCAGTGTGTGTGTATGAAAGGGCTCAGATAATATGTGTGTAGAGTGTGTCTCTGTGTATGAAGCCAGTCTTTGATATTGTATAAGAGCAGTGTCATGTATATTATCAAAGTATGGGGGCACCCGAGTGTGTGTAGAGCTTTGAGAGATATAGGGGCAGTGTGTGTGTATGAGGGAAGCAGGAATGTGTGTATGAAGGCAGTGTGTGTATGGGGGCAGTATGAGGCAGATGTGTGTATGGGGGCAGGATAGGGGGAGGCAGTGTGTGTGTATGGGGGCTTGGGAGGTGGCCAATGTGTAGGGGGCAGTGTGTGTGTATGGGGGCAGTGTGTGTGTATGGGGAAGTGTGTGTGTATGGGGGGGCAGTGTGTGTGTGTGTGTATGGGGGCAGTATTTGTGTATGGGGGCAGCATGGGGCAGTGTGTGTGTATAGGGGGCAGTATGGGGGGCAGCAGTGTGTGTGTATGGGGGCAGTGTGTGTGTACATGGGGCAGTATGGGGGCGTGTGTGTGTGTATAGGGGGGGCAGTGTGTGTGTGTATGGGGGCACTATGGGAGGCAGTGTAAGTGTGTATGGGGCAGTATTTGTATGGGGGCAGTGTGTGTATGGGGGCAGTGTGTGTGTGTGTGTATGGGGTAGTATGTGTGTATGGGGGGGCAGTATGGGGGGCAATGTGTGTGTAGTGTGTGAACACCCCCCCCCAGCCTACCTGTCACTGGAGTCTGTTGCTGGGGGTCAGGCAGCCATCTTCTGCAGCAGCATGGTCTGCTGCTTTATGGCGGGGGTGGGGCTTATGTGCAGGAGGCGGGGCTTTGTTTGGGGTGGGGCCTGTGCAGGGTAGCCAATCAGTGCTCCCTCCAGCCACAGACAGCCCCCAGTACTTCAGCACTGCATTCCCTCAGCACTGCATTCCCTCGGGCTGTAACAGACACACAGATTGTTACAGCCTGAGGGCCCATGACCAGCAAGTTGCTGGCATTTGGGGGGGCCCAAGGGGGGGCCCCACTAGCGACGCCACTGCTTTTAAGAGCTTGTTCCTGATACGCTCTCCTGGAGGAGAGATCTTCCCCACACAGTCCTGGAAGACAGAAGCTGATCCAGGGTGGACAGAAGACGGCGAGACTCCAGTTAAGCTACGACGGTTGTGGAGTCTGCGGTGGTTGTGGTGTCTGGTGCGGTGCTTGTGGTCCTCGGCGCAGGCTAGGAAGCGTCCATCAACGGAAGGTACTCAGTTGGAGTACGGGGAGTTACGTTACAGACAATGATCCCAAGCACACCAGAACATCTACAGAATGGCTGAAAAAGAAAAGAATCAAGGTGATGCAATGGCCAAGTCAATGATGTGCATAAACAAATGCCAGCAAACCTCAATGAACTGAAGCAACTTGCACCAATTGGTGCAAGTTGGTTTCGTGCCCTTTCTTCTGATAGGCCAGCGTGAGTTAAAGGCCTTAGCTCGGAATGCCTTCCCTCCCTGAGCTTGATTGCTCTCTGCTTGGTTTAGGCGCAAAGTTTGAACTTTCCGGCAATTCCGTGGAATTGTTTTCGGGTATGTACAGAGCCCCAAGCCCAGACTTTACACAATGATTTCTCAGGCACTGTACATCCGATAACCCAGTTATTTGCAGGGATTCTAGCAGGGACAGGGATGTATGTGTGTGCCCCATTTCCTTCCCTTGGCGCAGAGCCCCTGAGTTTTCCCCAATGTATGTGATGGAGCTGAATAGGATGGAGACCCCCTGTGGGGGTCTGTGTATAAATTAAGTTGTACCAATAAAGCATTGTCAGTGTTGTACTCCCAGAGCTGTGTCTCATCCAGTTAGTGGGGGAATGGAAGTCTGTTTAATTTGATTATTCCGGAGTGGCTGAAGGAAGGAATTAGCAGAGGTAACCGGTCAGGTTACCTGGGATCCGCAACATCTGGTGGCAGCAGTGGTATGGTACTTCCAAACCTAATGGAACAAGCATGACACCCAGCTACAGTGAGGCAGTGTTTGACAGGGAGATGAAGGGGCTGCTGCCTTTATTGGGACCCAACCTCTCCGAGTTTCTCATACAGCATGAGAGGAAAACCGTGGCCAAGTACCTGCAGCGCCCGTGGATACCCACACCCCAGAAGCAGAATGCGTCCCAGGGAGAGAAGCATTCCGTCTTTCCACCCCAGCGGCAGTGTGAGGTCCATGGAACAGAGACAACTGGTCTCATTCCCCAGTGGCAGTGTGAGGTCCAGGGAACGGAGACAATCAGTCTCGTTCCCCAGTG